AACTACTCGCTAGAAGAAACCACTTATGTACATGTGACCATACTTATTTTATTATGTAGCTCATTTTAAAGGGGAGGGGGTTGAGTATGGGAAGAAAATAACTTGTGTCAAAACTAAGCTAATTGGACAATGTTTTTGAGTACTACCTAAACACATATACTCATCATTTGAACATACAAAAAAGCAGTAAAGTCTGTTTTACGAAAGCCAAGTCTGTCTGACATTTTATTTACTGCATTTACACTTGTTTTAACGTTTGCCATCTTTTTACATTAAAATAATGCAATATTTTAGCTGCTATTAATTTCGCACAGAAAAAGTAATCATTTGACCTAATGTGCAATTGAGAGAAAAAACGTAAGGATGAGTATTAGAGTGGTTCAATTTGCTTGTCAGATTTTTTCGACTATGTGCGTATAGCACAAAAGGATTTTACGGGTAATTCTAAGCAAGTTTGCCGAAGAAACCATGGGTCTAAAATCAATTTGGAGTTTGCCAAATTGCGAAAGTAAATTTCTTAGCATTTTGCTGTAGTGTCGTAAAGAAGTGTTTAAATTTTAAATAAAGACATGCTTTAAGGGGTTTGATGGTATGAGGAATCTGTTTCTGCACTTATCTTTTTCTGAAAACTTGCACCAGAGGTCGCAAAAGTGCAAATTTTCACATTTTCTTCGAAACCTATTTTCGAAAATGGATTTTAGACCAATGGATTCTTCGGAAAATTTCCTTAGAATCCTCCTATGCTATACGCGCATAGACAAAAATATTTACCCGCCCTAATGAATAGATTCGACAAGTTCGGAACTTTTACCCTCTGTAAAACAAAGTTGTAATGATATGGACTACCAGTGTAGGTATTGATGTTTGGGCATAGTTTGGCTGAGGTCCCAAAATTCATATCCGTCTGTGTTAAAAAGAGTTGCCTTACTTTTAAGATGGTAGCGATTCCACAACCGCTAAGTACAGAGAATAAAGTTTTAAATTTCTTGTGACTAGTCTCACTTTAATGTACAATAAATCTTTAAAAAATTTTAAGATAGTCACAGCGACAATTGTCTTTCATCTACATATCGACTGCTGAGTGGAAGATCGACCTATCTCAGCAGCCAGTTCGAAAACGCCCTATCTCAAAAAACTTTCAAGAACGCCCTATTTAAGAATTTTATTGAAAAACACCCTATCTCAGAATTTGGTTGAAGAACGGCCTATTTAAGAATTCGATTTAAAAATGCCCTATCTCACTTCAAAATGTATTAAAAATGTGCTGATATAGGGATTCTGAAATAGGACGTTTTTGAAAAGTTTTTTGAGATAAGGCGTTTTCGACCTGGCTGCCGAGACAGGTCGATCTTCCGCTCAGCAGTCGATATATTGCCAAAAACATACCTCTCTTCAGCAGGCGGGTCTTCGTTATATTTAAAGAGGAAATTATTTACTTTCAACAGTGTGTGAGATTTATTTGATAACATTGAGTGCATTATTTCAAACACTATTTTTGTATGTATACATTCAGTTATTAAATTTTCATTCGATATAACTTAAACTTAAATTACATACAGATATATTTATATGCATATATATCAGTGTGGTCCCTAAATATCAACATCATCGGACAATCCTTTATTTTGTCCTAAGTACGAACCAAGTAAAGACCTCCGCGAAAATTTGAAATTAAAAAAGAAAAAAAAGTAGGGGTTGCTACCAATATTTGAGAAAGATTTAACTTAATAAATCGCATAAATTCGAAAAAATTTTGACTTTGACCCGCTATACATCAAAATTTTGTCGATTTTTTTCGATTAAAAAATTAAATTTCCTTTAACCCTGGTAGCGGCGACCTCTAACATTTTTTGTAGGTTTCTCTCTTTTGTACGTAGAAACGAAGCTAAAAGACTGTCCGATCCAAAATTTAGATACCTATATTTTTAAGGACCGCCCTAATGTATATGTAATTCTTATATAAGTAATCATTGTTGGTTAAACTTTACTCTACAACCTAAAATTGCACTATACAAATGTTCGTATTATACATACATACATATAAGTAAATAATTTAATGATTTTTAAAACGTCTTTAACTTAATATCACAAATCGCTCAGCGCGTTCGCCCTAAAAACTTAACACGAAAGCAACTCTGTTTTCACAAAGTAGATACTGACTAAATTTAAAAATATCCGAAAAAATGCTTCGATCATTTACTGACGCCCGAAATACGCGCCGCATGATTGCGCCCATTTCCGTTATTTATTCTATCTGGACTTCCGTGCGGCATAGCGCCATTCGGTGGTGTCACTTGATCACTTTCCTTATCCTGGTGGGCTGTCATGTGCCGCGTGAGATGATGCCGTTCGCGAAATGTCTCCTGGCATACTGGACAGCGTAATTTCTCCTCGCGCTTACGCCGATTGGGATCGCAAGCAACCTCACTTTTGTGATGAGAACGCATGTGATAGACCAGATCGCTTGTCATGCGAAAGCTTATGCTGCATTTGGCGCAAACATTCTGCGCCGTCAATGAGAACGTGGAGGCCAGCGTAGGTGGTATGAGCGTAGTCAGTATTGCTGCGGCAGCGGGATTTTGTGCGATCCGTGGTAACTCTGGTGGCGCAACAGCAGCGAAGGGGTGAGCATGTCCGCCAGGAAATGGAAATGCCGAATAGCCATGAAGAAATTCTGGAGGTGGACCAACTGGGTTGCAGTTTCCGCCATTGCTAGCCGAACCGGATGCATTCTTGGATGCGGCAAGCGCTGCAGCAGCTGTGGGATGTAGAGGCGTGCGATAGAATAGCTGTTGTTTAAGCCGTTGCGCTTGAAGCATATGCACATGATTGACCGACTGGAAAGCGCCACTGAACTGATAGTCCGGTCTGAAGTTTTGATAGATAATATTCGGATTTAGGCATGGCGCTGAATTGCCACTGCTGCCATTCGATAGGCTGCCGTTGCCACCGCTGTTGGTGCGTGGTGGCGTTGTGGACATGGGTGGACTCATCGACGAACAGCTCAATTGATCGGGACTCAGTGGTGGTGCAGGTGGAACAGGCGACTCCAAGCGCATAGAGGATACTTTGGTGAAGGCGCTCTTTAATGGCAGACTTTCTGGCGATTCGCTGCCGACGGGAATTACCAATGTTGGGTCATCGTAGATGCGCGGCGAGCGGATAGTGATCTGTGGATAGCGGCGCGCTTCTTGGATGTTGAACACCGATTCAATGGGATTGATTAGAGGGTGTGGTGGGCTTTGCTGTTGCTGATTTTGATTTTGTAGCGGCGAATGGGAGGCGGAGCGCGGCGACAAGTCCGTCGGATATTGATGGTGCTCCGCACTATATTCCGAAAGACGTGGCTGTTTGTCGGTATGCTTCTGTTTGAGGCGCTCGTCGGGCATCATTAGGAAAGCGACGTCGAAGGAGCGTTTTAAAGTGGCTTTGCCATTGCTCAGATGCGTTGTAGCGGTCACAGGTGAAAATCGTGAGTCATTGTTACTATTAGTATTTGACAGCGGGCTTAGAGGCGCTGTTGGTGGCGTTGTGGAAATGCATATGTCCGCACGCTGCGGTGATGGCAGATGCGGCGTGCCTTGCTGCTGTTGCTGTTGGTGGTTGTGGTGGTGATTATTATCCATGATCATGTTCATCGGCTGCCGTAAAATACACTTTTAGCACACTTTATGCTTTAGCGGTTCTTTAAATGTTTTTTTTTTATTTTTTTTTGGATTTGCTTTAAATTGCGCTTCACTATAGCACTGCACTTGCCACTACATAAATATGTAGCACTTTCTTTGATTTGATAAACTCACTTTTTTCAGTTCTTTAGTTAGTATCACTTAGTTTTTCTACCCGTCAATTTCGAAATCCAACAGCAGACTGCTCGTTCGCAACAATCTGTTCCTGCTTAAGTAGTAGCCAGTAGCAGTGAGTCCAACTGGAGTCTAACCAGCCAACACCAACCACTAACCATAACTCATCACAAACAGTTGGTCTTATGCGTTCTCATATTGTTGCATTCCAAATGCGTGACACTCGCACATCTGTGCGAATTCTACTTGCAATGCATTGCGCCCACAACCCATCTCCTGCGCAGCAATACGGTCATAAGTGACACCCTTATGTTGGTCACATTATGTGGAATAGAAACAACCTTGTGCTCGCACTCAGAGACCGTTGCGTGCCACCCTTACTACTAGCCCTGTAACTTGAATGCTTCGTATTTTTTGTTTTGTTCGAAAACCGTCCATCTGTTTTCGAAGTTGCCAACATATTCTCCGATTTTACGATTTTGTGAGAGTAAACAATTTGAGAGCACATCAGCCCTCTGCTGGTTGGCTGAAGTTCATATCTATTTACAGGCATATTTACAAACACAGGTAGTTATGTACATATAAGTATATATATAGATAGGTATATGGACTGGATCTTGTAGTTTACGTTTTGAGTTTAAAAATAGTAGGTGCAGGCAAATTGATGCAAACTTTTTGTTAAGGAACCTGAATCTGAAAAATTTTTGCAAGGCAATTTGGGCCAAACGTAGGGGTCGCCTTTGTTAATTTTTCGGCATTTAAATACATTCGGATCCTAAAGTATGATATATCGATGCCTTTGTCTATAGAAGACAATTTTTTTTTAAAGTTCCTTCACCGCGAGATCTCAATTCTTATTACCCTAACGTAGCATCCTAATGTCCGTAAATTGAAGTCACTAATAATCATTAAAGTTTTGCTGGGGAAGTATTTCGATTATTTCAGTAGTACTACTTAAATATTTTTATTTTTCTTAACGTACACTGGCGATCAAACCTGAGTTAATTTTACTTTTGTTAAATATTTGGAATGTTTTTCAGGAAAAAATTTTTTGTCCGTTTAAAAAAAAATATGGTTCAAGTTATAACCAAAACAACGTAAGTCAAACTTTATACAGAATTTAAAAAAATTCAAAAAATTCTCATTCAAATTTTGATTTTAATCTGAAATTCTAAAAATTTTTTTTTCGTATGCAGTTACATGGTTTATGAAATTCTAGTAAAATAGTTGCAAACGTTAAGTGGATAAAAAATCGCCCTGATTTTTAATGATTTTATTTTTTTTTTGCTGACGGCTTTTTTCATATAACAAGTGAAATTTTTAACAAGTAGCGTTTATTTTTTTATTTTATTTGTTTGCAAACAGTCTTATGCATTGTGTTCTACGAGAAATTCATGTTTATATGGTAAAAAGCGGAAACAGCCGTCAGCAAAAAAATATTAAAAATCAACGCGTTTGTTTGCCACCTAAAACTTTCAGTTGTTTTCTGTTCTTGACCAACAAATTTTCCAAAAGTTCAGATTAAAAGGTTCAAAACTTTGATGAATATTTGTTAAATTTTTCTAAATTCTGTATAAAGTTTGAAAGTTTGACTTATGTTTGTGGTTTTGATTAAAGCATGAACAATATTTTTATAAAAAATAACAAAAAAAGTAGATTGAAAAACATTTCAAATGTTTAACATAAATAGACATGCCGTCACTTTTGATGGCGAGTGTAGGTGTCACCGAAAAATGCAAATTGTTTTCGGAATCGCTTTACCAAAATACTTTAGGCTTAAAGTGTACAGCGAACTTTTTTTTCGTTTACTTGCAAGGTGGTACGGTCTAATGTACATATAGTATGTAGTTGGATATTCGATATATCGGCAGCTGAGATAGCTTATCTTCCACTCAGCCTTCGATATGTAATTATTTTTTTTATTGTAAATATGTAACGGTAATAAAAATTATACGAAGGTTAATAGTCCTAAAGATTTTCGTTTTGAAAAAAGTTGATTTTTCAAAATATAGTTATGTTTATTCTGTTGGTTTTTATTAACATTTCTTAAACTTAAAACTTTAACTAACCCTGAAGGCCACAGCCTATACATATGAAAACATCAAGGAAATAATAAAAATTAATGTGAATGTACTAAAATTTATTACATACATGTGTATAATTTTTAATTGGAAAGATAAATATAAAATTTTAAATTTGAGTTGCAAACAAGTATCCCATCATCGATTCGACGAAGCATGACTTTCCTTTGTTAAAGGAACAAAAATACCTAGACAAACACAAATTACGGAAGACATAATTTGATCAAACAGGCATGTACTATGTATGCATACATACATATCGCACTCGATCTTCAAAAGTGACACAATTCAAAATTTCGCTTTTTTGAAATTATGCGCTAAAAATGTACACAGAGCTTTTAGTTACCTTTCAGCAAAAGGTGGCGCAAATTTTTGTTATAATTTGTTGAAAATGACTAAGGAAAAGTCTCCCTTGCCCATATGATTAGCAAGTTTGGTAGATCGATAAAGTGCTTACCGAGATACACCTTGTAGTCATAAAGTGGGTGGCGCCACGCCAAATACCTCAAATCAGCGTCCTCAGTTGTTGAAATATCAGAGTTTTCTCGTATTTCTGAAATTTGCCGTTATATGGGTGTAATTTCAGTCCGATTTTAATAATTTTCAACGAATTGCTGCTTTTCCGTGCCAAGGTTATTAAGTATACCGGGTTTGGTAGAAGTTGATAAATCGCTTACAGAGATACAAATTTGTGGTCATAAGGTGCAGCGCCACGCCCAAAATCCAAAAATATATAATAATCTAATTTTCTGCTAAATGCAATAATCGATTTTAAGTGAATTAGCTTCAGTAGTTACTGATTTATCGCAGTTTTCGTGTTTCTGTAAATTACCGTTATATGGTAGATGGACGTGGTTATCTGGCCCCGCAATTCTGCATGTCTTCAGATGCAGAAGCGTGCTGCTAGAGCCTCGAGGTTGCTCTCTTGTAGGGGCGTTTCATTCGGGTGTCCTCAGTAGACATCCGCCTTCTTGTTCGCAGCGGAGTACGAATTTCACGTACGTCGCAACTGTTTCTCACTTGTCTACCACTGGCGATTATTACCCCAATTATGTGGTTCGGAGTTATGGCTCCGTATCTTTCTTCCAACATTCTGAGCGAAGTCAAGAAGTGCTCACAAGTGAAGAATGTATGGTGCACGTTATCTTCGACGTTTTCGCAGTAGCTACAGAACGGTGAGTTCATCCTTCCCATCCTATGAAGAAATCGAATTTCCGGTGCGGATGTGCGTCCATCGAGCTTTTGTGCTCGCGTTCCAGTTTTGTTGCCACTTGTGTGCCATCTTGCCGAGTTGAAGGCGTCCAGTGTGACTAGCAGCACTATTGGCCGAGCCTGGTGGCTGGCTTCTTCAGCTTTATGTATCACCTCGACTAATTCACTAATTGCTCCTATAGTTGAGTGTCCCTTCCTGAAGCCATGTTGTCGGGGTGAAAGGCCTCCCTCGTTTTCTAGGGCTGAGCAGACTCTCCATCATCTTGCCTGCTGTGTCTAGCATGCAGAGTGTTGCAGCTATTGCTTCCAATACCGGTATACATAGTTATCAATATCGTTGTCCATGTCGTTTACTTTATCTTTATCAATGTTGTTCTTCATATCGCTATCGTCATCGCCGTTGATTCCTAAAGTTTTATTATTATTACTACGTCGGACATACCCTCGCCCTAAAGATCTGTTGTGACAATCCCTTATTTAAGAAATTAAGCACATTGGAGGGTGTAATTTTCCAAATTTTATATGGAGAAGATAATCGTTCTCCAAGGTTTAACAGCCTGCGATTTAAAATTCGTTATCCGTCACATAGAATTTGCTCTGAGCATTCTTCAGTCCGTGACTTTAGAAAGCCCCGTTTTATTCAAAGGGTACCTAACTTGCAGTGTCCTATCAAGCAGCCAGTAGGAGTTCTAAGATCCTCCCATCTAAATTCGAGTAGTCTTTCAGGTTTTCCACGGAAGGAGTTATAAATCGCTTTGATTGTCTCATTCCCTTCACTTTCGCCATAGACAGCAATCTGAGATTCTTCCTATATCCTAAGTAGCTCTGAAATGTATCCTTTGGATGTGCCGCAGAAAGACTCGGAACCACGCAAGCGCATTTGGGCTTCACGTTTTGAGAGACAATCAGACCTTTCGTTGCCCTAAAACCCTTTATATCTCGGGACTTACCAACGCGTTACTCTGTTGTGGACTTCGAGGTGGTTCAAAAGAGTTTTGCAGTCCCCCCTTGTCGTTCTTCGAAGACATTCGCATTCCTAAAGTATATTGTGACCCTTTAATTTTCCATACATATGTAAGCCTTATAAGTACATATTGTGCTAAACATCAATTGTAAATGTAAGCATACGGGGAACAACGAATAAAAGGTCCTTCCCAGCAATGCTTCCAAGTGGGCCAACTACATACATTTACATACAAAACACATTGTATGCGAATACGAAATGCCCCTATGTATTTGTGTGGATACATACATTTTGCCTTTGTACGACTTGCTGACCTCAAACTAAATGGGCGGAGTTTCACGCTCACTTGCCACAAGCATACGTGCCTTCATAGTCCTGCCATAAGGACTTGCGTTAAAAGCAGGCACCCTCTCTCTTACAATACTCTCATTCTCATGACAGTTCGCTCACGCTCTTTTTCGAACATCCGGCCGCATTTGAGCGAATGTCGATAGATTGTATTTGTTTTGAATGGACCCTTCCAATGCTGTGCAGAGTCCTTATTGCAAGTGTTTGTGAACAGGTTGTTTTTGTAGATTTTTTTGTTGCACTACTGCGCCGCCTGCCATTGCTGCTAGTCCTGCTTTTGGGTAGCTATGTATGTATGTGTGATGTCGATGGTAGTGGTATTGGTAGTGGTAGTGGCAGTAAAGCAGCTGCTGTTGTTTTTGTCAAGTACGGGCTATTGTATTTGTATTGGGTATCTGTGTTTGTGTATCTCAGTTCATGCTGTTGGATGATCATATTGTTGCGCTGG